TCGCTTCACCATGACATCTCTGGATGAGGTTTACATGCTCTTATTGCTCTTGTTATTGGGTCTTGTTCGGCGAGGACGCCGCGTCACGCCTGAAAGTACAGGATCTTCAGACATACACTTTTCCTGTGAACAATGAAATAAGATAAATGAGTGAACCTCTTCCCACACGAAAGGCAGTCATATCGCTTCTCTCCAGTGTGGATCGTCTCATGTATTTCGTAAGGTTTTTCCTCAGTACGAACCGTCTGGTGCATTTTCAGTTCAGAATCTGTAAAAAACGTCTTTCCACACTCAGAGCAAATATGATCCTTCACACCGCTGTGTCTTTTCAGATGCATTTTTAAATTACCCATCGGTCTAAAACTCTTTGAACAACAAGAACATGTGTAAGTCCTCTCCTGCGTGTGCACTTATAGGAAATCTTCCCTAAAATATTTTTTACTGCACTGGTCACACTTATGTACAGTCATGGCCAAAGGTTTTGGCAGTGTTTTGCAAAGTTTGCTGCTTAAGCTGTTGTGGTGTTCATTCACATCGTTTCTAGATTATTGTGTAGCATGATCAGATGCATTTTAAATAATTGCTAAAAGCTTCATTGGCCAAAAAAATTAACTTTTCACAAAAAAACAAATTTCCCTGTTTTTTGATCCTGACACAGTGTAATATTCTGGTCTACTTGCGCAGGCTTGGCTCCAGTATATTGCATAAATGCAAAAAAGACTAATAAACCATATGCCTAACAATAAATATTTAATTAACGTGTCCATCAAAGCGTTTTAGCCAGCTGAAAAATGTCAGGCGCTCTTCTGAAAACGGCCAGCTGGTGGCGCTTGAAAATGCTTTGGTGGCACAGCGTTTTTCCTGCCGAGACGCTTTGGTTGCTATGATTAGGAATATCCACGGCAGTAAAGTATTACTAGTATCTCATTTTGAACAATATTACTGAATATAAAAATGCAGTAACCAGCAATATTAACTTCTCTATTGTTGTTCAGTTGTTGTACAAGTAGGATGATTGGTCGGTGTAGTAGGCTATCTGTCCCGCCCCTCCTCCATTGATTGGACGGCTGGGTAAAAAGTGACGAGCGCGGCGTTTTACCCAAAGCTAAACAGTTGATCAACTCTCAGCTACAAAAAAACAAAAACAGAGCAAACGAACTTGTAAAATATTATGATGGCAGTGCATCAAAATTCAGTGTCATCAGTTTGCCAAAAAGAACAGAATGTTTTACGCACCATTTACACGTGGTAAGGAGCAGGTGTACATTTATTTCGTACCAACTAACATTTTGAAAATACAAACACTTTCATGAATCC